TTGCATCCATAGTGGCTTGAAAGTAGTCACTGCATTCATGACTTCACCATTTTCTTGCTCCTGGCATTGTCTTGAAAGAGCATTAGCTACCAAATTTTCTTTCCCTTTCTTATACTGGACTTCATAATCCAATCCCATTAATTTACTCAACCATTTGTGCTGCATCGGTGTGGTCAATTTCTGATACAAGAGATACATCAAAGCTTGGTGATCAGTTCTGATGATGAAGTGATTATCTATGAGATAGTGCTTCCATTTAGTGATGGCCATTACCAAAGCAAGAAGTTCATTTTCATACTCATATAATTCTGTGTTCTGAGGACTCAATGATTTACTTAGGTAAGCAATTGGTTGTCCTTGCTGCATAAGGACATCACCCATTCCCTGATCACAAGCATCAGTTTCTACAGTAAAGGGTTGAGTAAAATCTGGTAGTTTAAGAACTAGAACACTGGTTAATGCAACTTTCAGCTGCTGAAAAGCTGTAGCTAATGCTGGATTCCATTTGAAAGTATCCTTTCTCAGAAGCATGGTAAAGGTTTACTAATTACTCCAAAATTCTTCACAAATCTCCTATAGTAACTAGCCAAACCAAGAAACCCTCTGAGCTCCTTCACATTCTTTGGTTCTTTCCATTCCACAATACAGTGAATCTTTTCAGGGTCCACTTCCACACCTTTTTCAAAAATCACATGTCCTAGATACCCCACAGATGATAAAGCAAAAGCACATTTGGATTTTTTTTTTTTTTCAAAAAGCTCATTCTCTTTAAGGATTTGCAACACTGTTTTCAAGTGAATCACATGTTCCTCCATGCTAGTGTTATACACCAGAATGTCATCAAAGAAAACTAACACGAATTTTCTAATGTGAGGTTGGAATACCTGGTTCATTAAAGCTTGGAAAGTAGCAGGAGCATTGGTTAAGCCAAATGGCATAACCAAAAACTCAAAGTGACCATGATGTGTTTGGAAGGCTATTTTTGGGATGTCCTCCTCCTTCATTCTAATTTGGTGGTAAGCTGCTCTCAGATCAATTTTTGAGAAACATTTAGCTCCCAATAATTCATCTAGAGGCTTCTCTATTACAGGAATAGGGTATCTACTCTTGACAGTAAGTTCATTCAGCCTCCTATAGTCTGTAGACATCCTTCAATCACAGTCCTTCTTTTGTACTAGCAAAACTGGTGAAGCATATGGACTCTTGCTGCGCCTTGTTATGCCTTTCTTTATCAGCTGGTCAACTTCTTTCTCAATTTCAGCTTTATGAGCATGGGGGTATCTATAAGGTCTCAGTTTGAAGGGTCGTGCTCCTGGCTTTAGACATATCTGGTGGTCCACTGCTCTGACAGGAGGTAAGGTTGAAGGTTCAGCAAACACTTTCTGGTATTGATCGAAGAGCATTTCAATGTCTGTTGGTAGAGTTGATGTTATAGCAGTATATAGATGACCATAATTTCTTCCCTCCTGTCTGATTCTGTGCCCCTGGTAAGCATCATCTCTTTGCCTTCTGTGCATTTGCTCCCATTCCCATTGTTGCTTTTTTCTTTTGTGATACTGCACACTTTCCATCACTTCCTCAATGTTTTTATAAGCTTCATAGGCTTGTCCTTGCAGAAGGAATCTTTCTCCTCTCCCACTGAGCTCTATAGTGTAGTTATCATAGTCAAATAGGATGGGACTAAAACGTGATAGCCAATCTTTCCCCAAGATGATATCCCATTCACCTAAGTCTATGATTTTCAGATCAAATATGAAGTCATACTGCTGAATAGTCCATTGAGCATCAGGACCAGCAGTATCATTTCTAATCTTATATCCATCTGTTACTGTTACCACAAATGGTTTGATCTTTCTGGTGGCAAGTTTCAACCTTTGGACCATTTTGGGATCTATGAAGCTTCGAGAAGCTCCTGTATCAATTAAGATTTTAATGGTCAGCTGGCCAATAAAACTAAAAATCACTACGATTTCTCTGTCTTCATCTTCCATAGCTCAACACTCATCCATTTTGGTAATGGCTTGTATTTGGTAACTTGGCAAGGTCACTATATTTCCAGCATCATCTACTTCCTCATTCATGACATAGAATTCTCCAACCTCATGTTCCTCCTCTGCCATGATGACATTGATTTGTTTCATCCTACAAACATGACCATGTCTCCATTTTTCTCCACATTTCCAACACAAGCTATCATTTCTCTTGTATTGTATTTCTTGTGGAGTCAACCTTTTGAAGGAGTCATTTCCCCCTCTCCTGTTATTCATATTCATAGGCCTCACTGTATTAGAGAACCTTGCTGGGGATTGCAGGTTTCTGTTAGGAAGAAGATTCACATTCCTGTTCTTTAATGCAAATGCTAAAGTCTTCTCCTGATCCTTAACAATTTCAAAAGCTCTCAAGAGAGTATTTGGCTCTAAAAGTCGTACCATTGGCTTAAGTTCTTCCTTTAGGCCACTAATGAAACTAGAGATAAAATAACTTTCAGTAAGGTGAGGATCTTTTCACAATACTCTCGATTTCAATTCCTCAAAATAGTCATGATATTCAGAGAATGTTCATTTCTGCAAGAGTTTGTTAAATTCTTCAAACTCATCTTCTTCACCTTTCTCCCCACCCCCCCCACCCCCGAATCTTTTAATCAACTCTATTTCAAAAATCGACCGTGGAACCACCCCAGTTACTTTCTTAAAACTTTGGTACTAGAAATCGGCCTTCCCTTCTAAATACAACTCAACAGCATCCATTCTTTCTCTTTCAACAATTTCATGCATACAGAAGAATTTTTCACACTTCCTAACCCAGTTCCTACGGTTTCTCCAAAAAAAAAATCAGCAGCTCTATTCTAGGTTGTGTTAACCAACCATTTTTTAATATCCCGTCCTTACTTACATTCACATGCTCTGATTCCATACTAGTCTTAGGTATTCCCACAGGACTAGGCAAGATACAATCAGAAATGGAAGGGGTTTGAGTCTTACCATGACTTGGAGTTTTAGATCTATTCTCCTTCATGGCATTCATCAGCTCCGCCATTTGATTAGTGAGAACAGTGAATTGCGACGACTGCTGAGTACTCTTTGCCTCCAGATGGCTTCCCCAGTTGTTGACCCAGATGCTTCCTCCACTCACTAAGTTCAGCCATTTGTAGATCTTGTTTTTTTATATATATTCTTCCAGAGTTTGATTTGCTTTAGCTCTCGTCTCCGTCATTGTTTCCAACGGTTTACTCAGTTTCTTTTGTCTAAAGGTGAGACTTTTAAGACTCTATCTTTTGAACCACAGTCCAAGAATTTTCCAGCTCTGATATACCAACTTGTCACGTTATAATAAATTCAAAATAAGATTCTTTTACTAAAAAGGAAATAAAGCAACTGATAAACCAAAAGCTAAAAGATTGATTTCAGAGTTTAGAGGAAAAAATGATAGAATGGGGGAGCAACGGAAGAACCAGAGGGTAAAAGATAGCAAGCAAATGTTTTTAGGAAGAAAAGATAGATTAGGGAATCATTTCATTCATAAACGTCTGATAATTACGTGATTTCCTTAAATAACTAAACTCTAATCTTCTAGAAGGAGTTTAGATTACTTGATTACAAAGAAATGCTAAATAAAAATAGAATTTCCAGCCGGATCAATGAGGAAACTTCCCAGAAGGTCGGTCTCATTTTGTCTGCATGCATGGCAATCACGCGAAGAGCCAAATGCTGATAACTAAAGGAAATGACACCGTACGACAGCAGGAGGAAATCCCTAATTTTTTCAATTTTTTATTACCAGAATAAGCTCCGGATCACCCGACTTCTGCATGACGATTATTTTGCCCTTTTTCATTATTATTAATTAAAGATTCATCATTTTATAACATTTCATAAGTTTTAAATTGAAAAAGAAAATAATGAAATGGACATTAGCGGAATTATTATTAAATTCAGTAATTATTAAAATTAACTTGTATAATTTTCTAGTGTATTTTACTTACTAACTAATAATAAGATAACATCAAACAAACTAAATTAATTAAAAAAACAAAAACAAATTCACTTTACCTAATTAAATGAATATTTAACTTGGACTAAACTAACTTTACCTTAACCAAAAAAATTATTCAATCATTTAATATAAAAAAATTAAACTAAAAAATTATTACACAATACATCAATTAATAAAAAATAAATATAATTAACCGCATAAATAAAATAAATAATTATATAACATCTAATTTTTTTTAAAAAAAAGTGAAGATAAAACAAATAATTATATTAGATTTGAAAAAAAATATTTAAAAAAAAAAAGTGAAGGCCACACTTTCATTGCGCGAACAGCCGATGGCATCGGGCCTACTGGCCGTGGGCAGCCCAACGGTCACCCACCTACAGACGGCATGTGGCCAATCGACCGCCCGCGTCACTGTTGGGCAGCCTACGGCCGATAGGCGTAGCACTGCCGGCCGTTAGCCTAGTGAGGCCGTAACCGTTACTCTTTTTTATATTTATTTTTTTTCAAATTTGATGGATATATATAATTAAAAAAATACATAATTGCGGTGAGAAATTTTTATTTAAAGAGTTGAATATTAATGAAGATTAGAAGGTTGTAGATTTTAAAATAATAAAAAAGATTAAATTTTTAAAATTGTAAAAATTTGAATTTTTCACTAACATTAAGTGAGATACGTTCAGCATTTTCAGAAAAAAATTAGGAAGTATAGAGAATATTTGGACGCATATGATCGATCTCTTTGGGTTAAAGTCAATGATATGCGGATGGACGGCCCAAATATCCTTCTAACCAAGTCAAGAGTACTGTCTGAAAGAAAAATATAGTACGGTTCCGCTCTTATGAGGAAGCAGATTTTTCATGTTCCATGGATGACATTATCAATGCTGGGCTTGGTCTAAGAGGAGGTAATCTTAAGCAGTACTTAACAGAGAAACCAGGTTTCAAAAACCAAAAAAAAAAAAGAAAGAAAGAAAAACAGAGAAACCCATATCAAAGTATCTTGCTTTCACATAAAAATAAACCACCCCAAGATCATCCTAATTTCCTTTCTAGTTTTCTCTCCAAGACAGCCTCAACTAGATTACTAGAAAATAAAAGCAACATCTACAACAATAATCCAAGCTAAACCCTATCAAATACTCCCTCCGTCCCAAAATTATTGTCCAATTTGAGTTTTCAGTTTTAGTTAAATTATACTGAAAGTGAAATCTCAAACTGGACAATAATTTTAGGACAGAGAGAGTACATCAGTAGACAACAACTCAATGCACCATATCCCTAATTCCAAGAACTTACAAAACCCTCTTCACATCCTTCTTTAATATCGGTTAGGAAGGACTTCAACTGACCAAGTATCCTTCAAGCTTGTAATTAGAGACTTCTTCAAGGAGGGTGGTTAGCTCTTCACATAAATACGTGGTCATTTATTCTGCATTCCTAGTTCAAGTAATATCTTCATAATTCAGACAACAAAATTTTCATGGTCTAGAAGCTTAGAAAGGTATGAAAACATTTCACAAAAGCTGACTCAAGGAACGCAAGATTGATTAGTTCGACACTAAACTTTAACAGGCCTATAACAGAGTAACACAGGCATTTGCAATTTTGCATTGCTACAGGACATTAAGCTCCTAGGAGGCATACGATATGACTAGCTTCAAAGAGATCTAATACTGAATCTATCACTGCAGGCATAGTTTTATCTATTAATGTTTCACAAAATCTGTACTATAAGACCTGTACCAAATAGTCAAAAGAATTTAGTCGTATGCCTTCTCCCAATCATCCACTACATCAACATCATCCCCTCCTCCGTGCTGCTGCCCTGGCAAAGCTGCACTACTACTACTGTTTCCCGTTTCTGAAGTTGACACCACAGTGGTTCTTGGTTTGTTCCCAGCACCTTCATTGTTGCGCTTAGTAGTTGCGGAAAAACTTGAACTACTACTGTCAGAGTCCAGAGCACTCCATCTGTTTGTGGCAGAAACATTATTTGCCCATTCCTCCTCTGCACCCCATGAACTCCCCCCTCCATCAGGTTCCTGCATGACAACTTTTTTCCATGGATTTTGCTTAAGAGCATCTGCCCCTCCATGAGGTCCATATCCTCCCATACCACTAGTATTTGATGCAGATGCTGTTCCCAAATTCTGAGGAACTACTGAAGAACCTTGTTCCAGCCTCCTCATTGTAGTGCCTGCTCGGGGTGGATCACTAGAGACGGCCAGTGTTCCCACATTCTGCAGAACTACTACAGCTCCATAATACAAAGAACCTTGATCCAGTCTCCTCATTGCTGTAGCTGCTCGGGCCGGATCATTAAATACAGCCAGAGCATTCTTGTCATTCAGCCAGACAAGCTCACATTCCCCACCAAACCTCAGGACCAATGCACTAATATCTGCATCCCTAGGTAAATCAAATAGAGCAACGACTAGTCTAGGATCCATGTCCACTGAAGGATCAAAAACTGGGGGTTGCAAAATGCCATTGGTATTACCAACTTTTGCTCCAAGGAGGCGAGCTGGAGCTTTGGACTTGGGTGTAACATGAAGAATGACAAATCTTTTTGGCTCCCAACCAGCAGCATTTACCGTAAGCTTCCATCTATCTGCCATTAGTCTCAATACATCTCTCTTCTCCTTTGACATTGGGCAGAAAACATGCACTTTAAGTGCATTAATGCCACCTCTGCATCTCCCAAGAACCAGATATTTGCATCTCTCTTCGACAGATAACAACCACTTAGGTTCCCTGCGCATGACGTCACTAAGCACCTCAGGAACAAATGCAGTTTCACCAAAGTGAAGTGCATCCAGGTTTGAAGTTGTAACACCAAAAGCATCAGCAAGAACCTTTTTCCGCTCTGTCTTAACACAATCATCATCACACATCAGTTTCCTCTGACCAAGAGGTGCTTTTGCATTTGCTTCAACAGGTTGAAGGGGTGCTGGCAACTTTTGGACCAAAGAAGCTTCCAAAACTGTGTCAGCGCTGTAGCCCCCGTTATTGCCTCCAGCATCACAAGGAACGGTTGCACTAATTCGTCCACAAGAACAAGAAATTGTAACAGGAAACTCACATCTAATGTCAGGGCAGGGAGCCGATGGATGACAAAGAGCAGTACACGTGTGTCGGCAATCCCTCCTTGGAGCACCACAGGGCTGGCCACAAGAGGCTCTCTTGCCAACACTAGTTTCAATAGGACTATCACAAGGTGATGGATGACAACTTCTAGAGCATGCATGCAAGCCACACTGCCTTGTCTTACCACAAATTTTGTTGCATCGTATATCCTTTGAACCGCATGGAATGTTCCTTAGTACTACATGTCCACCAATGCACTCTTTCGCTATAGGAACAGTACAGGGCGGGCAGTCACCAAAGTGGCAGCTGTGAGAGGATGGATGGCCACAAGGCTGAGGAACTGAGCATCGGTGCTGGCAATAAGGCGGAGGAGTACCACAAGGCTGTGGTGGTGGAATTGATGTCCTTCCACAAGCACAAGACAGGTCAGTAAAAATGGTATTCAGGCAGGGAGGACAATGGCCACTATGGCACAACGATTGGCATGAATGCCGGCCACACCTTAACTTCTTACCACAGGGCAAATCGCACAAGTGTGTATCCCACTCACTGGGGACTGGATTTTTGGAATTAGATAGAGGACAACACCGGTCACTGCATCGGTGCCTGCCACAACTTTTCTTCTGCCCGCAAGGTCTGTCACATGCGAACATCTCCTCGGTCATTGTTCTGTAGCACTCAACAGTGAAAGAAGTAGACCCACACCGACATTTCTGACCTACCAGAACAGGACATGGTGCACAAACTCCAGTGTGACACGTGTCTTTGCAATAGTGTAACCGGCAGGGCAGTCTTTTACCGCAAATTTGAGAACATGTAGGGATTGGATCAAGACAACTCCTCCTATCTTCTTCTAACTTAGTTTTACCACAGCAGCAAGAGCTGATTTTACTTGGCAACAACTCACATTCACCACATGGTCCAGGGTGGCACAGGTCATTGCATAAATGGTTTCCACAACCCAAGCTCTTCTCACAAGAATAATAACACGAGAAAACCCCATTTTCTACTTTAATTTCTCCCTTCAGTAACATGCCCCCGCAAACGATTGCCTCAGTTTTCTTTTTGCAAAAACAAGAGGCATTAAACATGACTTCACAGTAATCGCAAGGCCCAACATGGCAAGTCCGCTTACAATGATGACGCCCACAATCAAGAAGCTTATCACACTGCTGTCCACAAGTAAGAACAGCCTTCCTATCAGAGCACCTTGTGGTGATAACTTTCTTCCCACAAGGGCACCTCCGCGGTGGCGCAAAAGCCTTGCAAGGAGGACAAGGACCAGGATGACATTGCAGAACACAGGTGTGGGGGCAAAGATCCTCCATTGTCATATCAGAACCAGGAACTTCCTTCTCGAGAGCCTTACCACAAGGCTCTCCACAAGAATGTGGAGTCAAATATAAATCTGAAGAAGGGTCCTGTCTTTTCCTGCAATAGCAAACATATCGAATCTCCTTTGATGAAGTGAGCTGTACAGCTTGACAACCAGGGCACCTCCAGTTAAACCCCTGACTCTTCTCCGCAGACAAGTCAACTGAAGTTGGAGCTCTTGCCCATTTCTTAATACAAGCCAGGTGAAAAATAGAGTAACAGCTAGAGCATGACCATATTGGTGCTGACCTCCGAACCATATCATAACAAATCATGCACTCAACAGTACCTTTCATCAACTTATCCTGAATTTCTTGGACAAGTAAAGGTAAATTTACATCCTTAGATCCTTGTGCCTCTTGATTTTGATCCCTCTTTTTCTCTTTCTCCCTTTCCCTCCTCTGATTTGGATAGTAACCCATGATGCCTCTCGATCCCTGATATGTTCTGTTACTGTTAGCCGGTGGAACCGGCCTACTATTTGAGCCCACATTAGTAACATTTCCATTCACAGCAGGCCCCATGTCAGTGGAAGCAATGGTGGCAGTGACGGTGGGAGTACCAGTGTTAGCAACTGCGTCATCGGAACTGGAGGCAGGAGCACGTGGTACCCACTCCCGCCGACCACTTTGGACAGGATTACTTCTAAGTCTTGACCGATTCTCTCTCCGGTTACTTTGAGCTGGCAAGCTCATATTATGATATAAAGATGTCAAATCCCTAGAATCCCTTGTACCCAGTTGACAGAGGCAGAGTCCCAATACAACCACTAACAGGAAAATCTTGTTTTAGATTAAACAAATCTGCACAACAGGAACACAGAAGTTCAATTAAAATTGCACAACAGGAAGAACGCAGACAACCATTATGAAGAAAAGCAAGAAACAGGAAGCTAGCTCGTAGGATTAAACCAAACTAAGAAATTTACAGAAATGTAAGGATCTAGTACTCAAAAACCATAGAGGAAATTTGCAAAAATCAATATATAAAGATGTGAATCTCTATAGAGATATAAACAAAAGTTAATGAAAAGAAACAAGAATCAACAATAACAATAATCACCTGCTTGAAGAAAGGCCGCTGTAAAACTAATATCCAAGATATAATATCCCCAAGAAAAATGCAAACAACAACCGGGGAAGTTTTGGGGTTTGATTCAAGGAAAGCTGTAAAATTTGTTCGACAAAATGGACTCAAGAAATATCAGCTCCACTGAAGGTGAAAAGCACAAGATAAACAACTTCGCCCTTAACAAAGGGTTCTACATGTTTTTATCCAGTCTGATTAAATATATTACTGTTATACAAACTTCTGCTACAGAATTTATTCTTTAAAAAGAAAGGAATCAAGTTACAGGAGTAAAACAAGAATACAATGCGATTAAGCTGAATCAAAAGGTTAATAGTTTTTCTAGCAACGGTTCAATAGAAGACGCCACAACTTAGTTTTGTGTTCAGGTTAATTCAGTTTAAAGTTGAACCTACTTGGATCAACACAGAGGCCATAGCAAATAATTTTAATCGAACAGAAAAAGATAGTGAGCAAACCTTCTAGCAGGAGGAGTCTAAATTCAGATAAAAGTTGTTTCCAGATGATTTATAGAAAAGTAGCGCAACAGCCATATCCAAAATCTCTAGAAAGAGTACAGAAGATTTTTTTTTTATGCCCGATCAAGAAATGAGAGGCATACTATATGAAAGATAATGAACTAAAATCAAATACAGAAGGTAAATTTACAGACATAGCAAGCTATTACCTCCTTCCCAAAATGATTGCCCAGTTTGGATTTTCATTCGTAGTACAAATTGCACTAAAAGTAAAAACCCAAGCAGGACAATAATTTTGGGAACGGGGGAGTATGATCTTAAGCCACAAAACAAAACCATGTCAATTTTGTAAAGCCTAGACACTTACTGTTCCCCAAAAAAACCACCAAGCTCACTGAGAAATTCGAGGAAGATTCAATTATGGCTTATTTATTTAATGTGCAATTTGATCCCTGACATGAATACATTAGTTCCCCTACCCGGGGTTGCATGCAGATCACAAACGTGAAAATTTCCAACTCCCTTTCCGTTTGATTTTGCATTTGTTTTTGCCTCGTGAAACAACACAATGAAACTTGTGGAAGCAAGTTCAAACAACGACAAAATGTGCCCACACAGAAAAAAAAGAAAGAAAGTTAACACTAACACAAATGCAGCAAAACATCTCGCATGGAATGGAATGGAACAGAAAGAGAATGGAATGGAACAAGCAAGTTTTGCACCCGAAAAAAAAAATAATAATAATAAACAAACACCAAGGGAAGGGGAAAACCTTTATGGGAAGTAATTTCAGGCTTCCGGCGTCGCTAGGAAGTGTTTTACCGGCACCAAGTACGCCGCGTTCAGTCGTCGACCAGGGTGAGGGTACGGTCGTCGGAAATGGGGATTCAGAAAATCGCTTGTTCTGATGCTTATGACGAAGCTAGCTTTGGTCGATCGATGAAGAAAAAACCTCGATTGAAAGAGGGCGATTGAAAAATGAAACCCTCGATTGAGAAAGGGGAAATCAGATTTCTCCTCCACAAAGATGAAGAAGAAATATACGCCACCAAACAATCTGGAATGTACAAAACGAGAAATCAAGAGAGTGAGAGAAGAAAAGAAGACGACGATGCGAGATGATTATAAAGAGAAAACAGGGTAGACAAAAATGTAATAAAATCGTGTGGGATTAAAGAAAAAAAATTCGTTTTAAGGAAAGGAGGGAATTCAATTAGTATTTTATTTATGTTTATTTATTTTGGGTTAAATAACCTAATCGTTTTTACTCCTCCAGTAGGGTTGATTTGCACCATAAAATTGTGTCTCTCTTTTTCTTTTTTTTTTTCTTTTTTTTTTCCTGTTAACAGAGTCAACAGACTCTAAATTCTACAAATTAGAACTGACAATGTACAACTTAAAAAAAAAAAAAAAGAAGGAAAAAAAGTGATAGATACTTGCAAATCACAGTATATTTTTCTTTTCCCTAGTTCAATCTGGTTGGAAGCAGAGATCACTTTAACTATACCACTCAAGAGTTGTAAACAAAGGAACTAAAAGCACAAGGCAATAGACAATAGAATGTACTCTATCAACAGTTCCACTTTGGGGATTTCTGTATGGTGTTCATGTAGAAACATCAATGTTACACTACAAAATTCTGGCTATGGATGACAAAATATGTACAGAAATTTGTTGTCCAAATATAATTCCGTCAGTCAAAAATTCTAAAAGCCTAAAATGGTGACAATGGCTTCACTATGTATGATTTTGTCATATCTCCTTCTGTACTTCCAGAAGGCTTCTCTATGAAGAAAAAACGCCAAAATTTTCACTCCACTTTGAGTATGATCTTCATGAACTCGTACACGAAGTAGCTTATGGCTGCCGAAGGCAACACCTGAAGTATTATTCCATAAAAATAAGAACAGTTAGTAAATAGTCGAAAAAATTGACGACGACAAATCACGACTGAGGAGATTCAGGCAAACCGAAAAGATAACAGATAAAACCAATATCTAAAACGCATCACACAGATGGTTACTGACTGGAACGTTTGGAGGGTGAAAGTCAGGTTTGTCTGGAAAGGTACTAAGCTGAAATATGAGATTTAGTGTGCTGTGATAGTAGCTCTTATATACCAAATCTGGCAGGAGAGAAATGGTAGGATTTTTCGATCTGAGAAGAGGGATGTGGATAGTATCATTCAGCAGATCAAACAGGAGGTTCATTGGAGGCTGATTGGAGGAACAAGCAGAAAGTTTACAACAGCCGAAACTCAGATTGTTCAACAGTGGTTTGCTTGAATTAGTTTTTTTGCTCTGTTAAGCTAGAAGTACTGCTGTAAATTTGGGTGTAAATATGAACTTATTTGATTTATTCATATATGAAAGTGTTTACATTTTCCCAAAAAAAAAAAAAAAAACAATATCTAAATGCTCCTCAAATCATACTTGGTGTCGAAATGCATTTGACATAGGATGTTGATGCATGCATGAGCCAAATGATTCAACAATATGGAAACACAAGATCACCATAAAAGAAAACTACATTTCTTCGTCAAAATAAGACACTTATTTATTAATAAAACATGTGGTGTTAAGCCATATCCGTTTAACAGAGAGGAGGGGGGGAGGGGGGGAGAGAGAGAGAAAGAGAGGGAGAGAGAAAGAGAGAGAGAGAGAGAGAGAGAGAGAGAGATTTTTGTAAACAAAGCATGTAGATCATGAAAGAAGATCCCTATTGTGTGGTTTCACAACATGCTAATGTTTGTTTACCTGCAGCAAACTAGGAACAAGACCTGCATACAGAGCTGGCACCCCTCCTCGCTCAACTATCCTTGCAAAAGTAGTCAAGGCGCCAACTTTATTAGATCGACCTTGGAGTTGAAGCTGTCTTCTTACAACCTCAAAGGGGTAGGTTGCAGCTTCAGCACAGGCACCAGAAATAGCTCCATGCAATAAGGTTCTAACCGGTCCTAATTCCAGTTGGTCAAAAGCATTTAGTCCTCCGCCATGTCGTTGCAAGTTCTCAATCCTTTTCCTTCCTTTGGCAGAGTGCAAATAAGCCGACTTCAGAATATCATAGACACCATAAAAAACTGCTGCGGAAGGAGCGATGCTTAAAATTGATGGGACTAAGCCATTGTATAGAGAAAGGAACCCTTCAGTCTGAATGACATGACGAAAGGCACCTATGACACCACCCAGGGCTTCTCCACCAGGTGCCACCATCTTGGTTCTGATCTGGAAGATTTCAAATGCAGTCAAGCATCAAAACCTCCCCAAAACAAAATGCAGACAACAGAACCATTATGGTATTGCCAACTTCAAAAAACAGGCACAGGAAAAGTTTACTTCGTAGCATGTGGCTTTGAAAAAGTCCAAGCATATACTAACAGCAAAAAATTGATGTTCTATCTTCATTGAAAGAAATATCCGCAAATGAGAAAGATGATCAAACAGTTGTCCTTTAAAGTGAAAACCTGAGCGCAGAGTTGTATCACTGAATAACTAAAAATGGTAAGTTGGTTACAAGGCAAAACATGCATGTGTCACATTAATGCAGCGTGAAAAATGATATTAATCAATATGTAAACTATATTCACGTGGGACAAAAGAGGATGTAACATTACCCAGTTCTATATAATGCATTAAGCTCTTTATAGTAAATAAAGCAAAACAAATGTACGAAGAAAACCATAGAGGGTTGGACATTCAGAATCACAAATTCAATCGCTTCATGACTTCATCATAAGTGTTAATAAATACTCATTTTCATGCCCTTTTTTGTGAAAATAAGTGGTCTCTCTCTAACCAGATCTGCTATTATAAGGAATCAAAACAAAAAACAAAAAAAACATAAATAGATTCTTACGGTGTCCAGAGGTAAGCAAAGAACTGTAGCAGTAATACCAGCAGCTGCACCAGCAATAAATCGCTCTGCGTTAGTGGTTTCTTCATCGCCACGAAACCTAAGAAGTTGTTTTCTGTATGTGTCATAGGCACAAAAGTTCACTGCCTTAAATGGAGCAGTGCGGAGAATGTTAACCAAGTTTCCTTTCCAGAAGCCTGTCAAGCCTTGAGTAGCAGCAATTGCTTTAATAAGTTCAAACAGTTCCTTCTCTTCAGCATGAAGCATATATTCCAGTTTCAATCTCTCCAACGGAGCAAGAAAAGTTCTGATGAAGCAAATTCAAAATCATAGAGTAAGCGCCACCAAAAGAACTGTGCAGACAAACATCACTACATGCAATTCATTTTTTATCTACAAACCGAGCTATTCATGTTCGTGGTTTATTCATGTCGCAAAATCATGAAACAGTGAGGAATCTTCTCCATCATTTTTGAAACATGCACTAGGGGAATAGGCAGTGGCTTCACATATAAAGAAAAGATTTATTGTTTCAAGCCTGAGCATAAAAAAGTAGACAGCAAGAAAAGGAATTCAATCAATCCAACGGCAAATTCAAATGTACAAAAAGAGTATATGGTACATCCGAGAGCTATGTATTGTAGCATTTCCTATTCCCTTATAGAGAAACTCAAGAGGAATCCCACACAAAAAATTTAAGCGATATCCGTTGTGCAAATCCTTAAGATTTAACCGAAAGATACATAAAACTTTCCTCTTTCTGGTTCAGTCATGTAAAATCAGTGTACCAAGACCGTTCTACAAAAGAAGGTAGCAACTCTTGGCTGCATTCTGGTTCAGTCATATAAAGTCAGGGTGGTTTTTTGACAGATAAAGTTGTTGAACTTTGTAAACATTCCTCAGGAAGCCAAAAATCTCCTAAAAGATATATTTGATCTCACATGGAAATTAATTCAGTGCAATTAAATGCTTTTTAACTCATGTAGTCCCGGAATGACTGTTCAACATTTATTCCACAACACAGTACAAGGTCATTAACGATTGTGAAATCAAAACTAATCTTTTCAACTTTCTAGCCTCATCTTCCATTAACAGTTTTCCACAAGCATGAAATGACCATCTTTACAAAGACAACCACAAATGTGATGTATAGTGCAAAAACACAAAAAGTAAATAATAGAAAAGGAAAGAGCAAGGAAAGAGAATCCCAACCTTGCAACCATGGCAGCCACAGCTCCAGCCCACAAATGTTTGGTGGTATTCACCGCTCCACGGCCCCGTCCCCTACCGCCAGGCTTCACTTCATATTTCTTATCCTCCTCTCCAGCATTACCAACTCCCTTGGGCACCACCGTCTGAGCTCTGGATAATGTAAAATCCCCATTCTGCCGCAGGGAAATACCAGGGTTTCCTGTTAATTTATTATCCCCATTGATTGACAACCCTACACACAAAAACAAGCCATCTTTGAACGCGGGCAATTTGAACGAGAAATGCGAGTCACTAGAATCAGTTGTTCTTGAAACAATTGAGTCAAAAATTGAAGGAGGAACTGAATTATCCACAAAAATTCCGCCAATACAAAATCTTTCCTCCAGGGCTCGGCTGCCAATTTTCACCGGTCGGACCATCAGTGAATCGAAGTTCTGACTGGGTTTCATCTAAATTTCCCGGGAATTGGATTGGTCGAGGAAAAAAATCGAATTTGTCCAAATGGGGCACTGATTTCAACTCTAAATGCGAAGCATGGAGGCATAAAAATGGCGGTGCTTGAGCATTGCTTCCATCGCCGCACACTGTTTTTTGAAGTGTTCCTAACAGATTTTGCTTGTTTAATGCTTAATGAAGTCAGGAGTGAGTGATTTTGCCACTTCATTTCCATTTGTTTGTTTCATTTACTGTGGTCGCCAAGTGTTAAAGATTTTGCCATTAAAGCTTTTTCTTTTCTTTTTTTTTTTGTTTTCCTCCCCCAATTCGGATATTCTTTGTTACTTTCGGCTTTTTTTATAAAAATTTTGTACTCATGAGCCACTACTAGCAAACAAGAAAATAGTTTTACAAGAAGAAAAAAAATGTACATATACTCCCTCCGTCCCATAATTATTGTCCATTTTGCCCAAAAAATTTTGTTCTAAAATTATTGTTCAATTTGACTTTTTATGGATCAATTTACATATTTGTCCATAGTAAAAAAATATTATCCATAAAATCTTAGTGGTTAAACAATTACTTATGTAGGGGTATATCCGATTGTTTAAGGTAAAATATAATTAAGTTTGACCAAAAATAAAATCTTTCATTTTAGTAAAATTGGACAATAATTATGAGACGGAGGGAGTATTATTTATACATTTTCAATATAGCATTCAGAAAATTTTTGTAATAATTTAGCCGAATACATTTGATTTTCTTTTAAAGGCAAGTTTGATAAAAATTAGTGCTTAATTCTGAATGCTTAATAGTTAATTAAAAATATTAAATTTATTAAACAGTTACAGAATAAGCAATAAGTTAACTTTTATTACTTATATTTTGTACTGCAGTTTCAGTACCATTTAATTCATTAAGAGGTTGATTTTTTGTTATCAAACATGCTAAAGTGAAAAAAAATGGTTAAACTAATAATTTTAAGCATTAAATGGTTTTATTAAACAGGCCCTAAGTTGCGAGTTGATGATTCAGATGATAAACGAGTGACGTTACTACTAATAATTTTATATTTTAAGAGAAAAAAACGATAAATGAAACATGTGCACGGTTTCCTACTAGATCTTTTAAGTTAATGAATTCAATGTTGAGAAGAATGCTTTCCATAAGATTCATTTTTTTATTTTTATTTTTTAAGAAATAGTAAAAGTTAATTTATACTTTTTGTCCCGAAAAAAAAATGTTTATATTAAAACAATTCAATCGAATATACTTTGACGAGACAGGACATAATTTGTGTTTTTGACCCTTAAAAGAATATTTACCTCACTGCAATTAAAAGATATTTTCTCAAAGACCATAGTAGTAGTAATATTTTGGGACGAAGGATTCTATAGAATCGGAAGAAACTAGCTTTTGGTAACTTCATATTCTAGACTCTAAAAGTCCTAAACAATTCAATTCCTTAAACTTTTCATTTCTCGCGATTTTGCAGCTTTATTTTATTTTAATTACTAATCCTTCTATAAATACCTCTAAATTTCGCGCTCAACTTATTTCTTCACCATCACCGACTCACTCTGCTTCTCCGTCCTCAAACATTTCAGAGAAGCCTCACACACACACACACACACACAAGCAAAATACTAGGGTTTCCTTCGCAAATTCCTTTAAATTTGCAATTAGGCACCGAAATTCAGCTCTAAGAACCTCGAACTCCTGTGTTTTGAGGATCGAAGTACGGTAATTTCAAAATTGCAGCAAAATGAATCTTCGGATCGTTGAGTTTATCCGTCTAATTTGTACGTTTTTGTTTTCAGGATCGGCGAAATGAGTAAGTCTTTAGGAATGTCGAGCTTGAAAAGGTTTGATCTAAAGTCTTTCGCTCTTCCTAGTTCGGGGGCGGCGAAGACTATGGCGATCTCTTCGCGTGCGTCTTCGGAGTCGGCATCGCTGGGAAGTTTCGCGAATTTGAAGCTCACTGCAGGTACTAACCCTAATAGGTCGGATTTTTCTCTGAATTTCATGAACTTTTGAAATTGCCGGGGTTAATTGCATTTTTATTCTTGTTTTCGTAGAGAAATTGGTCAAAGAACAGGCTTCTGCGAAAACTGATCTTGACTTGGCGGTAATTGCGAAACTGAGTTTGTTTTAATATACGTACAAGTTATATATGTGGAAGATATGCTTATGTGCGTGTGTGCGTGGATAATGCTTGTATGTAAAGTATTCATTACATCAGGTGTAGACACTCTTATTGATGGTCGTTTATGCACATGAAACGAGCAGACATAAATTTTGGGTGGATTTTCTGTATATGAAATATATGTATGTATTCTCTGACTTTGCATTGGTATTGAAGAGTAGTATTAATCAATCTGCAGAATTGTAAGCTGAAAAAGTTGACGGAGGATATTAGAGTACTGGAAGAGAAATTACAGAATGCATTTAATGAGAATGCTAAGCTAAAAGTAAAGCAGAAAGAAGATGAAAAACTATGGAAAGGACTGGAATCTAAGTTCTCTTCTACAAAGACTTTATGTGATCAACTCACAGACACTTTACAACTCTTAGCAAGTCAAGTTCAGGATGGTATGTGTTTCGATTTGCTATAGTCTTTGATATGATCTTGTTTTCATTGCAACTTTATGGTTATAAATTCAATTTTTGACTCTTACTACAGCTGAGAAAGACAAATTATTCTTTGAGGAAAAACTATCTACGTCATCAGCTTCTATTGATGATTTACATGAGCAGATGAAATCAGTATCCTTAAGGTTGGAATCATCAGAGGACACTGTTAGAACTCGTAAGTTGTGGTGATCCTTACATTGTTAAATTTGTGGTCCTTCAATAGGCTTTCTGTACATGATATTGACATTAATATGTTCTATGTTGTTATGTTTCTAAAATTTACCTAAAGGGGAAAAGGAGCTGAGGGAACTTCAAGATTTGAAGGAAGAGGATGAGAAATCCTTAAATACTCAGCTGAAAGTATCATTGACTCTCATTGAGGAAAAAGGTAACTTTTCTTTGGTGTTTATGGTGTGCGACACTTTCTGCTTTTTTGTCTACTCTGCTTGTATCACGTGAACTTAATGGACTTGCATTGTGTAGTCTGTCCCTGTGAAATGTGATTGTGCACCACAATTTATTGAAGGTGATTTTTTTTTTTTTTTATTTTGTTGAAGGTGATAGTTTATGCAGTGATCTTCAAAAACTGCTCCCAATCTTTGTTGTGATAGACATGTGGTACACATTTTCTGCTTTGAGGCAAACTCTAGAATTCATTCTTAGTGGAATCCTAAATGATTATATGAAGACAGTTTCATTCAGGTGTTCATGCCTTTGTATTATTTGTCCTGAATAAGTGGCTCTTCTGATGTTAATGTATCTGACTATCTGTATCTGTAACAAAAGACCACAAGTGTACCATCTCGGTGTCTTTGTTTGTTTCTTTCCGAAGAAAAATTCTTCACCAGAAACTGAAAGAGCCATAACTTTTTTTTCTTTTAATCAAACTTTGATTAACTTTGAGTTCTCTGGGTGATAAAGAGTGTAGGGAATTCATGAAATAATAAAGTACTTCAAAGTAATACAGTTATGATGTACAAGCCACTTCACATGACTAAGCAAATGTAAGTGACCTTATAAAATGCAACCTGTTTTGTTGAACTTTGCTTGCTGTGTAAGAAGCCTTTATTCATGTTTCTCAGGAACCAATATCATGTTTATACACTACAGAGTTATGCCTGTAGGAGTTCTAATAAATTTTCAACTTAATGTGGTTAATCTGAAGTAGGAGACAATGTCAATTATTAAAATATATCTGAAGTTGACATAAATTATTGTACATATTAGACAGCATGTCTGCATGATAATCTTTTTGGTTTGTATCCTGAATTCAGAAAAGGTAATAAATTAACTATTTCTTTACTGGTTTCTAGTTATAATTTAGTTTCTGTTTTGCTGTGATTAAAAGCCAAATGGCTATGTTTGTTATCAGGGGTTTGCATCCCACAGGCTGTGATTGAACTGTTTCGATCAGTCCCAGGGTTCTCATAACCAATATTCTTTGTTAAACAGATGCCATGATTAAAAGTTTTGAAGCAACAGTTGCATCTAATGGATTGGCCATGGAGAGTTTGAGTTCAAAGTTGGAAAATTTGAATATTGATCTCAAACAGAAGGAAGAAGACTTAAAAAGTTTGAGGAGATCCAAGGAAGAATTTGAAAAAGAAAAGGAAAATTTATTGGGTGTCAACAAAGAGCTCTCTTTGAAGCTAGACAACGCTTTTCAACAGATAAAGAATCTTGAGGAACTTGTTAATTTGCTTACTGTGAAGCTTGTTGATCTGAATTCTCAAAGTTTGACATTTTCAGAAAAGGTTGCTCAGCTCATTTCTTTGTTTGAGTCCTGCTTTATGCTGCTCGATGAAGAAAAAAGGCTAGCTGCTCTGCGTGCTCAAAAGAAGTTTGATATGCTCCAAGATCACTCAACACGTGTTGCCTCAGAGAGAGATGGTTTGGAGATGGTTAATCAGGAATTGAATAACAAAGTCATTGAACTTCAGAAGGACCAGGAGTTTACCATGGTACAGCATGCAGAAGAATGTCGTCTAGCAGAAGAGAAGATTTGCAGATTAGAATCTGAAGCAGAGACTCTTCAATCTCAGAAGAGTGAAGTGGATGTGCAGATTACCAAATTACAGGAGAATTTTCAAACTTTAACAGAAAACGTGAGCATATCTGAGAGAAAATTGGTGAGTTCTGTTAACAAATTTTTGCTTCTATACATCAGCCTCTTATTACTGAATTCTAAACCACTACTAACAACTCCTTGCTTCTATACATCAGTCTCTTATTTCTTAACATTAAACTACTTCTATTTTATAGCAAGATGCGTTGTTGAAAATTTCTGAGCTGGAAATTGAGAATAAGGATAGTACTGAAAGGCTACAAGAAGTTGTAACCACGAAACAAGGTGAAATTGATGTCCTGAAGAAGGAGATGGAAAACCGAGAAGAACTAATACATTCACTGGAGAATCAAGTTTGCCAGATTAATGCAATGGTTGAGGAGAAGGATAGACTTGTCGAAGAACTGAAGATCAGAGAAAAACAGTTGGAAGATCACAAGACAAAGGTTGTTCAACATCCAAGTTGTTGCATCCTTTTTCTTCCTCTTCTTTCCTACTTTTCTTCATTGTAAAGTTTCTCTGTGGGCTTGGTGCAGATTCAGGAGTCACTAACAGATGCAGAGACCAAGCTTTCTGAAGCAAAGAAGCAATATGATCAAATGTTAGAAAGTAAACAACTTGAATTGTCTAGGCACTTGAAAGAAATTTCGCAGAAAAATGATCAGGTGCCATCTTCAGC